GTGTCGTGTCGTGTCTTGTCTTGTCTGGTCTTGTCGTGTCGTGTCGTGTCTTGTCGTGCCGTGCCATGTCTTGTCTTGTCTTGTCTTGCCATGTCACATGAGTTTCTTGAGCTGCCCTGTCAGCACTTTTTTGTTAAAATAAATAATTATTTTGCCTTTTTGAACTGGCTGCACCTTGGGCTCTTTCCTGCCTGCAAATTCACAACACAAGCAGGAAATAGAAAAAGTAAAACAAAACAAATCAAGTCAAATATTTTTATTATTTTGTTTTATTTTAGAACAAAGCAAAGATTCTACTGATCGACTTTTAAGGATTATAAAAAAACAACTTTGAGACATTCAAGAATAAAAAAATACAGTAAAGCACAATACTGTAGGATGATACAAAGCTTCCAGAAATATATATATTTTTTAAAAAACTCCAACCTGTTATTGACATCTGCAGTAACATGAGAATAATCAGCGCATTACTGCAGGTCACTCAGACTTGWGTTTGTGATGAAGATGAAGGAGGACTGCTCCAGTTCAGAGATGATATTCTTAACCCAAGGACGTTCTGGATTAACACAGATACGACGACCTTTAGCTGTGATGAAACTGTAACAAGAAAGGTGTGAAGGTTATGAGCTTCATTCAGTTTAAGTAAAAAAAACTTAATAGCAATAAAGCAGAGAGAAAACCTGCTGAGACAAACAAATCCAGTGAGCTGGACTTACACAGCTGCCTTCTCTCTGCAGCGAGGATCCGTCATGAAAAAGGATTTGACCGAATTTTTTTTKATCCTTTTGTCATAAAATGCATAGCAACAAGAATCAGGACCCGATGCAACTGAAAAGAAGATCAATAAAGAATGTGAGAAGCATCACTTATAAAAATTATAAACCAAAGTTGATATTATGGGTCATCCCCATTAAACAGCACCATGATGGGGGAGTGGGGGGGGGTACAGTTACACTAGTCCCCCAGAAAACAGACCAACCAACAACTGGACCTGGCGTGGGACACGGAGGACTCTGAAGCAGACCATGACAGCCCAGCATTTTACTTAGTAAGATTGTTGAAATTTCAAGAAACTTACCAAGTAAAATTTTCTTACTCAATTGGCAAAAATTTTTGACTTAATTTGAGTCAAATTTTCAGGTTAACAAGACAAATAATCTTACACA